ATCGTGACGAATATGGGATGCGGTGGAAAACTGGAAAAATTAACTGCTGTGTGCCCAATGCCATTTCGACGCATCCAGCCAAAAGCAGGAAAGGCGATATAGGCTGCTCACATCAGTATGCAGTGAAAATCAAAATTCTGACCGGAGTCTGTATACCAGTTGGATTGCGTAAGAAGAATATCATTTATTAATACTTTTATGCGCAACCTAACTGGTGTATTTGTTTCCCTTTTTTGATAGCAATTTGCAGACATTGTCGTGAGAAGCTCAATAGTATATCCATCATAAATATCGACCGTCCTGAAGAAACATTGGTGGAGCTCTGCGAAACCTAAGAAGGGAGCATTGAAATGTCTTTGAAAGGGCAACAGCGTCTTCGCTCTACAAGAACAAAGATATATATTGATCAGCAGACATGCACAAAGTGACTTTATAAGATTATGATTTTAAAAGTTCACAAGTTAACCATTTTGTATGCTTTCAATAAAGCATTAAAGAACCAGACTACGACACGGATTTGCCAATCAACCTAACAGCTCAAATGAGGCAGAGGAAAAGCTTAATTGCAGATGACACACGCAAAAATGTCTTGGAATACAGAAGACAATTATTGAACAATTTTCTTACATGTTGTGGTATTGATCCTTTACCAAAAGTCGATAAAATGAGTGAGCATTCAGAACGAACCAAAAGATTGTACATTAGCAAAGCATATGACATCATCTTCGTAGTCATTAAACTGATTTATCCAACCAATCCAGGGGGGCTTTGGAAGTTTCTCAAAGATAATACTTCTATAGACAGTGCGCTTGGCATAATTCCTGAGGAGCACCAAATCTCTCCCGAGGAGTCAAAGTACCTCCAGTCATTATCAGAATGCAACTACACTGTACATGGGCTACTAGAAGGCAGATCTTATCTGTTATAGCAGACCTTGCTCCCTACAAAACGTTGGTCAAATTCATTCCAGGTCTGACACAGTACCGTGTTACAGAAGCAAGGAAACATAAAACGTTATATGGTCGTGATACTCCAATTCCCTTCAGTACTCAGAACAGACAGAGAGTTGACCCGTGCCAATTAGAAGACTTCATTAATTTCATAACAAGCTCCTWTGTAGTGCAAGATTTACCATTTGGCGAGAAAAACCTGAAACTTGAATCTGGCCAAGTTATTCGTATTCCAAACGTTATCAGAGTATCAATAATTGAGCGGATAACTGACCAGTACCTTAGTTATGCCAAGGAGACAGAAAAGACACCACTGAGTAGAAGCACTCTAAGTCGTCAGTGTACTATCAGTTTGCAGCGCGTCAACCAGAAAGAGTCTCCAGGGTCTGGACTACTTCTCAGCTGATGCTGGTAAGGCATTTGATGACCTCGCGCTTATTGTAAATACTCTAGAAGAATGTGGAATGGATTCCATCAAAGCTGAAGACATCAAAGGCAGACTTTTATCAGGAAAACAGTATTTGAAGAGTGACTACAAGGTAAGCACTCGTGAATCACCCAGGACATGGAAGTGGATATCGCATACACAATATACAACACGGTATTTTATGGTAATAATATTATTTTGATAGGTGCACATATCTGAGAATTCAACCGTTCCAGACCATTGTATAAAGTATTCTCTCAGTAACAGCAGCAAGAACGTTTTTCAAGCAACTTGTGATGATCATCTACACAACCAAACTCATGACCGCTGTGAAGACCTCAAAGCCACTCTCGATGAAATCAAATCTGAAGTTGAGCACACTCGGTTTTCAAATGATGACGAGAAAGACAACTTCACGTAGATAGTTAGTGAAGCCAGTAACAACATTGAAGCATATAAGAGACATCAATTAAGGACAATAAATCAGGACAAGGCTAAACATGATGTTATGGAACTACTCGATGAACACACCGTGCTCATAGTTGATGACTTTGCGATGAAATTCCTCCCCCAGCAGTTTTGCGAGTCACAAGGAAACTGGTTTGCCAAGCGAGGGATTTCTTGACATCTTAGCCATGTAACAACAAAGATAGCAGGTATTCTTCATACCCAGTGTTTTATTCACATTATCGAGAAGTGCAAACAGGAAAGCAGCGATGTAGTGTCGATGATGGAGAATGTAATGGCTCTACTCAAAGCAGAAAACCCATGCATTACGAAAACGTACTATCGTTCTGATAACGCTGCTTGTTATCATTCGATAAACACTATTGTGTCTTGTCAAGAAATCAGCAAGCGTACTGGCATTTAAATTGAGCGTTATGACTTCTGCGATCCACAAGGCGGTAAGGGTCCTTGTGACCGCTTTGCCGCCACAGTGAAAAACCATGTTAGAATCTATATGAATGAAGGCCATGACATTGTTACTGCAAAGGATTTTAAAGAAGCAATGGAGTCACATAACGGGATTCCTGGCGCAAGAGTAACATTTGTACAAGAAGACATCGTCAATAGTGAAATTGATACGCCTGAACAAAAGTGGGAAGGAATAAGTAGCCTGAACAATTTCCAGTTTGATGAAAAGGATGTTAAAGCTTGGCAAGCATATTCAATAGGCGAGGGACAATTTTTACCTTGGTCAAAGTTTGAAGGTAAATGAAAATTGAGATAATATTTATCAGTATCATATGACCCGTGCGGCCCTGCTCGCGCGCTCTAATAAAACCATTGGAAAAAGTCACGTGATGGGGGCCGGACGGGTTGACGTAAGCGGGCCGGAAAAACCCGTCCAGCCCTGCTCGAATCCGCGCGCTTTCTTTTTCTTAATTATTTTTATTTTCGCGAGGCTCATATGATAAAATGCTTATTGACTGAGTTCGGTCGTGCCGTACGGGAAAATATTTGGCTCTCGGTCATTTGTACGGACATGACCTCGAGTCAAATATTTTCCCGTACGGCCCTCCCACTCAGTCAATAAGTATATAGTATTCTGTCTTTTTATTATAATGGATGTATTTTATATAACAAATTTATCTTGTAAATAGTTTGTAGGTTTTATATATTATAGATAGATATAGATTTAGATTTTTAGATTTTAATATTTTATACATATGTATGTAACGCAACTTTTGTATTAACTTTTGATATTATTTGTATTTATTTATTTTTGTAAATATTTACTTAGCTCTGAAGGGACTACCCTGGCTTTATTTACTTAGTTTATTTTTAAATAAAGGCTTCATTCATTCATTTTCTGTAGATATTCCAAAAAAAGTCTGATAAAACTGGGCAGCATTCTTCTAAACCGATCAAGCTGAACTACCCATCTCGTGATACTCATCTTCTTTTTGTAGGTTCTGGAGGAACAACTCGTACTGAATGGCTATGTAGTGTTTAAAAAACGAGTAGGAGTGTTTTATCTGGTATAAGAGCACGAGGCGTAGCCGAGTGCTTTTATACCTGATAAAACACGATCTACGAGTTTTTTGAACTGCTTAAAACACTTTATTAGAACAATTTATAAGATTTCGGTTCAACTGGAGCCACCATACACGTCACGAACATGGATTTTTATACTTCGATAGAGATTTGACGTCACGGGCATGCGCAACCAGATTCTATAGAAGCTCCCACACGTTGGATATTGCGTGCCAAGGCAAAGACAGGCACGTTAGTCAAAGATCATTAGGGTTGACTATGACCTGGATGAAGCTCTATGTCTTCATCTAAACTTGGATGCATACTTCATCCCTGATGAAGTCATCCTCATAGTATTCGCGTGGTCTTTATATAAAGATCACATGTGTCTTTATATAAAATCACTTGAATACTAATGAAGAGGACTTTATCGGGTATAAAGGTTCATGCACGTGATGTGTGTGGTGGCTCCAATTGGACCATAAGCTTATGAATTATTAATGAGGTGTATAATACATTCTCTGGAGATGGGTTTAAAGAAGTCCAGGTGATAAAAGAACCAAAGAAAGTAGTCTAAGCATGTGATGAAGACGAAGGCTCAGAGACTGCAVCAAGTGAAGATTCAAGTGATTCGGTTCACATTTTTACTTGCCCAAACGAAGGCTGTGTGAAAGTGTACCAAAGTTATGGAAAACTGGCCTGGCACATAGAACATGGGAAATGTGAATAAAAGACAGAAAAGGGAGTCTCTTCTAAACAAAGCAAAAGTCATGTATGCTGAAAAGTTACTAGTCGACCATAATGTGAATTCGCAAGGTAATGTAAAATCAGGGGTCCATGAGAGCGTTACATCTACTGACCCACTTCTTCGGGGCTGGGCTCTACGTCTAACGAGAAAGAAGTCGAGATTTACAGCAAAACAAAAGGAATACCTCGATRAAAAGTTTGAATCAGGAGCGAAAACCGGGAAGAAGTATAATCCTTTGCAAGTATCTCTGGAAATGAGGACAGCAAGAGACAATGAGGGGAAGTGCATTTTTAGTGTCGACGAATTTCTTTCTGAAGATCAGATTAAAGGATATTTCTCTAGAATCTCATCAAAAAGAAAGCGGGACAATGTTAGTGATGAAAGTGAAAGAAAGCAAGCTTCAGCTGTAGCCGAGGAGATGATGTTACAAGACATGCATCACCTGGTGGATAGAAATATCCAGATATCTCATCCAATTATAATTGATAACTATAACGTGTGTGACCTGGTAAAAAAAGACAGATTGAACAAACTTTCAATCCCACTGCTCAAAAACCTATGTGAAAAGCTTGATGTCAATTTGATCAAAGTAGGTTCGGGAAAAAGAAAGGGTCCTTATATTGCACTACTCAAAAAACTTGTGGCGACCTGTTCCTGCAGTCAAATCTAAACTACGATACAATGGTACGTATAATGCAGTTGTCGTTAATTTTTTTATTTATTTTTATCACATCACTATTATCATAACTATGAATATATTTCTCACAATTAATGATATTATCATCTTCCATCATCATTATAATTAGTTTCATCATTATCATTATTATTATTATTGTTATTATGATAAATATTATTATTGTTATCATCATTATAAATATATTCATATTATTATTATCGTTGTTATCATCATTGTTATTATTATCATTATCAATATCATTATCATTATTCAGTTATTTTTGTTTCTTTCAGCCCTTTTAATAAATAAAGATTACAAAAAGTCGAGAAGTGTGGTCAGCGGTATGTATCATGAATTCATGCATAACAATATTGTAAACAGCCACAGCCTGCAGAAATTGTCTTTTCATTGCGATTTACTGTACATTTAGCGGTCTATCAGCCCCAGATTTCCTCAAAAAAAGAAAAAAAAATTGAAAAAGAGCCTTGAATTCAGAATATTCGCTAATAATCAGTTGGAATGCCGTGACGATAATGGTATAAGCTTTAAATTTCCCATCGCTTAGTGTCCAATCGTTCAACAATCAGCTTCGAAATTATCGTTCGATTGTCATTGTTTACTGCCCAATTAAATATTTCTTGATCGATAATTTCCCAGAACTAATCTGAAGAWGGACAACTGAGTACTATTTAATGCTGAAAAATATTCTAGTTGTACACAAAAGCRRGACTRAAGGTRAGAAGAAATTGTTGGATCTAAATTCTAGAAAGTTGCAAAATTGTGCTTATAAATGGGCTCAAATTGCAAAATGTGTTAAATTTATGTACATAAACAATACACAAATTGAAAATATAGATATTTATTGTCATTTTTCAACTGGTTTTGCTTTGATATTTTGTWAACTAAGAAATACTTTTGATATCGAATGCGGGTATGTTTTTGTATTTTCACACAATCATGGTGTATTCAGCATGTGATTTTTTAGGCAACATTTGCCTTGCCAGAGCTGTCCTTCTGGATTTTGAAAACCGAGTACTTGCTGTGTTTGAAAACGTAAAATCATTT